GGTTGCCCCGCAACCCCCCCCCCCCCCCCCCCCCCGGCTGGTGAGAGGGCCCCGCTGGAGGCGCCCCGCCGGAGGCGCTTTTTTACGCGGTTTGGCTTCACTAGAACACTTTTTTTGGGTGATTTTGGGTCACTTTGACGATGCCAGAGTCAGGGATTAAATCTTTGAAACCCTTGAAAAATGATCAATATGTTGGCAGTTTTTCTTAAAAAACTTTGGTTGGGTGTGACAACACGCATCGGATTTAGCATGTAGCTTTGGTTGGGTGTGACACACGCCACGCATCGAATTCAACATGTGCACCACGAAGCTGCCTCCAAACCATCTTCAACTTGAAAGCCTTCACAAGATCGTGCTCATTTTTCTTCAACAAGTTTGTGTGCTTCGTTTTTTTCAGCAATACAGACAGCAAAACTGGAAGGCATTTGTTAACATCACGCTGCTGGTGGCCAGGCTGTATCTTTTGCTGGGGAGAAAAAAACAGATTGACTTTTTACTACGGCCGGTCTAAATGATGAGTCAAAAAGGCCCGGCTGTTTTTTTTTTTCGAGGCCGCGGCAGGTTCTGGACTCTGAGGCCCTCCGCCCGGGTCTGCGGCAGGCACATCGCTGCTAGCGACAAATTCGTCCATCGATCACGCGGTTGCACCTTACACCTTTTCCCTCGAGTGCGGGTGTGTATGCTTCGTGCTTGCACTCCTCTCTCACCCCTCTCATGCGGCGCAATTTGGTGGGTTTCCATGTGGTTCAGGAGGCATAATGTGGGACGTACGTAACATGCGGACGTACTGGCTGTACTGGCACCCCTCTGAGCCAGCCCTAGGAAACCGTCCAGTACAGGAACACCGTCAGTACCTGCCGGTCCAGTCCCCAACCCTACGATTGGGAGTTTGTTGAGGTTATATCAATTTCTTCATCAACTGCCAAGTTCTAAAGTGCTTGAGAGCCTCTAGTTTCTTCCTTGCAGCGTGTAAGACTACAATTGGCCACTATTATATGTAGATTGTAGTGTAGAGGCTACTAACCGTGTTCACAAAGTAAATTGCTCACAGTTCTGAATGCTTGATGAAAAATGATGAGCGCGAAGTTCTTCTTAGCTGCCATGTTTGTAAGTGCGGGCGCTATCTGTGCAGTCGTCCCTCGGTTAGGGACACACACGTTTCGATTAAACAGGTGTGTCTTTAAGCCGGGGAAAAGTGTCCTTAAGGTTGATACATACCCCTCCTTATCTTATACATTCTGCGAGGCACCATGCCTGTGCAAAAAAAAACTCGGTTAGGGACACACATGTTTCGATTAAACAGGTGTGTCTTTTAGCCGGGGAAAAGTGTCCTTAAGGTTGATACATACCCCTCCTTATCTTATACATTCCGCGAGGCACCATGCCTGTGCAAAAAAATCGTCACCCTTAAACCCACGGCAGCATCCTCAAAAAACGGTGCCCTTAACTGTGCACCACGGAATTTTCTGGTTTGGTTGAGGTGTGCTGGGCCGCCTGCTCTTGGAGCAAAAAAAAAACACGTGACCTGCGTGACCGCTCATCTAAACCAGAGTGGTGCAAAAAAAAAAAAAACGTACATTTCGTAGAAACACCTTTAGTACCTGCAAGCATCCCTGTGTCGTGGCGATGAGGGTCTCCATGCGAAGCCTTCCGTCCCGCCCCGGAGTTAGCAGCGCCTTGCCCACCTGATATACAAGCGCGAAACAACAACAACAAAAAGGGCATGCATGCATGGATCGCGGCGTGGTTAGAAATCGAGCACCATGGCGTGGTCAGAAATCGAGCACCATAACCTGTGCATCTCGGCCGCCTTGCCTTTGGAGTGGAAAGGTTCTTTCATCCCACCAGGTACCCACCCACCCACCCACCATGCATGCACGGATCGCGGCGTGGTTAGAAATCGAGCACCATAACCTGTGCATCTCGGCCGCCTTGCCATTTGTAGTCGGAATGCTGTTCTTCCATCCCACCAAGCACTCACCAACACACCTTTGCGGGTCGCTAGTTGCAATATAATAGTGATGAGGTTTCGTTTCGGGTCATGCGTGTAACGCACCGTTTCCTTTCAGCCAGCAGACGTTATCGCCTTGTCGTCGTGTTGGGGGCGTTCATTAGTGAACTCCCATCTATCCGGGAGCGCATCTCTACCTCCGTTTCCCTCCAAGAGACGACAACAACGGGGGTGGTCTCCATCCTTTTACAACAAAAAAAAACAGCCGCGGGGAAAGAAGAGACAGATACACACCCAAGCCGTACACTATCCACAAGGATACGTAAATTTGCGCAAGAAAACCGCGAGCTGGACATTAAAAGAAAGAAACGCCGGTCCAAATACATTTTGGCAGGAATTGGCCGCCAAAAAGGGCTCTCTGTCCCGGGGGGGGCGGAGGTCGCTTCCTCATCTGCGTACCCCCCCCAATCATTATACCCTCACTCGCCGCAAACACTGCCAGTCGCACCTCCAAGAAGAACCTCCCTCCCGTGACCATGCTCCTCCCCCTCCGCAAGTCTCTCCTCCCGCCGAGTCCCAGCTCTGCCCCGCCTTCGGCGGACGCCTCGTTGCTGTCACCAACAGCGGACCCTGAAACAGCGGCAGCGGTAACCTCCTCCTCCTCGACCTTCATGTTGTCGGTCGACATCGTCGACCCACCTCCAGAACCGCTGCCGGCGGTGGCAGCGGTAGCTGCGGCGGCGGCGGCTCCCGCGCCGGGCGGAGGAACGGCAGCCTCGCCGCTGCCGCCGCCGCCGCCGCCACCGTTCCCAGCGTCGCCTACCCTCTGCTCCTGGTCCTCCTTTGCATCAACGCCGCCGTTGACGCCAGCACCACCACCACCACCGCCGCCGCCGCCGCCACCGCCACCGGCCTCCCCCAACCGGTCGTTCCCGCCGGAGGTCGCTACCTCTCCTTCGTCCCGGCCACCAACACCGTCGCCACCGACATCTCCGACGAAATCTACGGCATCTCCGACCAGATCTACGACGGGATCTCCGCAATCGCCACCTCCTCCGTCTCCGTCCTGATGCCGGCCGTCGACGAGCGCGTGCAGAAGCGCTCTGAGGACGCCGCTCTCTTCCGCCTCGAACGCTGTAACGCCTCCCCCCATGGCAGCAACTCCTAGGTCATCACCACGCCCTCCTTCGTCGCCGGGGACGCCAGCAACACCCGCCCTCGAGGAGGACGCCAACGAGGCCGATAGAGCCGGCGGTGGTGGCGATGGCGAGAGAGCCTCCGTGAGCATCGACAGCGTGCGCCGCAACTCCTCTATTGCACCACTAACCCCGCCCACGTCGCCGCCATCGCCGCCCTCCTCGCCGCTCCCGCTGGAACCAGCACAACCTGCGACGGCGGCGGCGGCGGCGGGGTCAGGCCCCGCCAGCTTGCCCTTGCCCTTCCACAACCCCTCCTCGGCCGAATGCACCAACGGCGCACCACCGTCGCCGCTACGGGGAGGTGCTGACACCACCATCGCCCGCGAGGAGGAAGAGGAGGCCAGAGTAGTAGTGCGGGGGGGAAAGGACTCCGGGTGTAGTCGGGAAGCAACCTCGGCGAGCTTGTCCAGCACCGCATTGCATTCCCCCCCGCTACCCCCGTTCTCCGCCGTGGCGGCCGCCGCCGCCGCAGCGCCGCTACAACCCGTCGCGATGAGCGATGACGACGGCGACGACAGCAACGACAACGATGTGTTGGCGTTGGCGTTGGCCCCTGGGTTTACCCCTGATGACAATCCTGCCCCTCCTGCTGCTGCTGTTGATGCTGTTGATGCGCCGTTCGCGATGCCGGTAGCCGCCGCCGACCCGTCCCGCTTGACGACCGCAATCGTGGTCTCTGAAGCGGCGGCGGCGGCGGCGGCGCCGCTGTCGCCTGCAACGGACGGGGGTTGCCCCGCACTGGCACCCCAACGCCTCAAGTTGTCCGCGCGGTACTGCTCAGCCTGGCCGGGAAACAAAAACATGGAAAAGAGACGTGATACGACAGAACAAGCGCGTTATCGCCGGCGGCGGCCTAGGTGTTGGAGCATCCAAGGCAAGAGCAGTCCAGGGAACGTTGTATCGCCCGGGGCCATTCCCCGTTAGTGTAGATGCACGTGGCTCTTTACTGCTGACGGCATGGAACAAACGGCTCACACACAGAGGTAATACGTCAAACTAAAAACAAAAGCTACAAGAAACACAACGAGGGCAGCGAAGCGATATTCGCCCAGCTTTGGAACGACGGGAAAAAACACGACAAGGCGGTACAGTCGGGGTCCCCGTTTAGAGCGGCTCCCTTTTCAGCGGGACGCCCTGAATACCGTTTTCAAAATCTCGTGGTACGGCTGCACCTTCGGTACTCAAAACTGCTTAAAAAACTGCAAATCCGGTTTGGCGGCGATACCCTTAACAACGGTAGCAATAGATTGTGACACTATGGACCGCTAAACCAGGACTAACGACTGCTGTACAAAGGTGTCGGCGCCACCGCCCAAGAGTCGACACGCGCAGACAACAAGCTGGACACGGCCGCTGGTCCGATTCCTTCCACACGTCCGATACTAGTCAACAGAAGATTAGATTCGACCAAAAACGATCCGTACGAAAAGGAGTGAACGTCCGAGATGCAGCTTTCCGGTTGAAAGCCTCCCCGCCATTCCACACAACGTGCTTCTCTGATGACAAGATGCATGTCACCGTTCGTTTCGTTTGAGACTACCATGAATGCCTACCATGTAAGCGCATGGAGGGGCTGTTGAAAGGGATCATCGCTCTCCGAACACTCACCACCACCACCACCACCACCACCAATACCATCAACAACAAAAACCACATCAGCAGCAGTAGCAACAACTGTCAACACAAAAACAACCTCTGACCGCCACTAACACCGACGATGACGACAACATCACTACCAGCACCACCACCAACAATCCACTACCACCACCACCACGACCACCAATACCACCAATACCACAATAACAACAGCAGTAGCAACAACAACTGTCAACACAAAAACAACCGCCTACCACCACCACCACCACCAACATTTTCCACGCTCACCAGCTTCGTCACGCCGTGCCTCGCGTACACAGCCCGGAAGTCCAACCATACACCCCCCGCGCCTTCCTCCGCGTCGCCCCCGCGCTGAGACACGGCGGGTAGGAGAGGTGCCCGCGAGCAAGAAACGGCCGTCGAAACTGCTGCGGCAGCACCAGCACCAGCACCCCCTGCCGCCCCCCGCTGGGAGGGGGGGGGAGGGGGGGGTGGGGGGGGTGCGAGGACGATCTCGGCAACGCGAAACGCCTCGGCCTTCAGCAACGGGTCCCGCTTCGAAAGGAGGCGGTACAGGGCCGCGGCCAAGTCGTGGACGACCTCCTGTAGGGTGTTTGGTTGGGCGTTTGGGGGCACCATTGGGCAGGGGGGGGGGGGGGGGGGGGGGGGGGGGTCGATTGTGTGCTTGCTTTCAACACTTAAGACCTGCGAACAATACCACGCTCTTCGGGCCGGAGGCTTTGGGTTGTCAATCTTCTTTCCTCAAAGTGGAGACACGCACGACAGTAGTTCGGAACCCCTTTTCCTGGCCCCAACTTCATGCCCCCGATGATGAGAAGACAAGTTCGCCTTGTGTTCGAAAGGCCTACTCCTCTCTTTCTCTGTTCCTTTCTTTCCTCACCCCGCTCTTGCTCTCTCACCTTGTCCTCCGACCCCCGCTCCCGTATCGCGCGCACCACATCGTGGAAGCAATCGACGCTACCGCTCTCTGCGGCTGCCATGAGAGGTGTCCAGTCCCCTTCCTCCTTAGCGGTAAGCTCTTCGAGCACCTAGTGAAAGCCGCACATCCGGAAGGCCACCCGTGGGTAGAATGAAACACGGAGCCCATCGGTCTCCTTTCGAAACAACAAGCGACTCACCGTACACACGCCGGCGATATCAACTGCTGCGAGTTGTGAGTCCAAAATGGACCGACAAACAGCTGCTCCCACACGATGGAGACGTTGTCACGCCATTTTTCATTTTTCTCTCCACGTTTCTCCCTGTAGCATTCGGCACATGACAGCTCCGAAGACACTGAGGGCAGAGGACCGACTGACGTCTTCAAGTGCCGAGAACTAAATGCTGACATGCGGGCACCATGTACCTTCTCAGGCGGTGCCCTAGCGTTCAGAGCTTTGAGGGCCTGCCTGAAGACCGCCCCGCTGCCGCTCCTCGCCGCGAACAGCAGCGGCGTCTGGCCGTCTTCATCCTGCCCACAGAACTCCTCAAGCACCTGCCGCACACAAGGGCACCGCCAAGAACAACAACAAACGCTCACGCGAGTCACGTTCACAGCCCCGATCATACCAGCAGACTAGGCAAGAACAAACGGCTCTGTCCTGGCCAGACACGAGGGAGCCTAGACCTGCGTAGAATAGACTCTCTCCGCAAGTGCTGGAGGTAACACGTCAGGAAGACAAGGGAGAACCGACAATGTACTACCCACCCTCGGCCACACGCGAGGGGGGTTCTCGGCCTTTCGTGCTGCGATACCATCTCAAAAGAGCGGGTCAGTCGCTGTCCTCGCACAATCGTGGGAGAGCGCTTATATACCAGAGAAAACGCCGTGGGTCTCAGAGAGTCTAGATGGCAGATAATCGATCCTGTTCTAGAGCTGCCCGATGGCCAGCGTCCCGCGAAACAGCGCGCGCAACCAAGGGTTGCTGGTTCCGTTGCCACACAACTCGCCTCCTGCTCCGACAGCTTCTCCGCCAGGATGTCCAGCACGACCCGAAACACGTCGGTCTCGCCTCGCTGCGCGGCGTGCATCAGGAGGGAAACGCCTTCCCCATCTCTCGAGACCAGCTGCGGCTTGTCGGCCCTGCCCAAGTTGGCCCGGATGTCGCCCACGCCCCCGAAGCGAACCGAGGTCTTGAGTTTCGCTGATGCACCGAGGCCGTTGGGGCAATAAGGATAGCAGGACGAACAAGCGCACGCGAGGTATAAGAGGAGGCAGAAAAAGCACCTGGTGCCTACCTAGTGCATGGGTCCTTTCGCTTCACCCAACAGAACCCATCCCTAGGGTTGATTTCGCTGGTCTATCGAGAGGGAGAGACGAAATGTCCTAGACAAGACAAGACAAGAACGGCAAAAACAGCATGGAACAGGGACTAGGTTTCGAAAGCGGGAGGGAGTCTTATGTGTGAACACACATGCTCCTACCGCGCAGGCCATGCCATCTCTCCCACGGCCGTCCAGGAAGGTTAGCGGAAGAGAGGCGTTTGATTACAGCAATGGGTACATGCGACACGAGACGCGCGTATGCCACGCCGCGTCCTGCGCGACGGGTTTTTCCACCGCTCCTCGTTGGCCTACCGCGCCGGCTGACAGCTACTTGTGGCAGAAATTTGAGATGACACCTTGCCCTTTGCTTGTGTTCTTGTTCCGGGCCTAGCCATGAGGGCCACACATCTACCCGCAGTACCCTTAGGGAGGGCTCGCAACAGTTCGAGTGACGGCGACTTGCGCGCGCGCGCACGACTACTCAATTGTCGTAGACAAGGGCACAAATCAAACAAGTCCGCGCCCCACACGCGGGTAATTTCGGATCAGTACTCCAGCGTAACATAATTCTACACAACCGTTCGACCAATCAATCACCTGCTTGCGTCATCTCCGACCCCGCGGCCGCCGCCGTAGCTTCCGAGAGCGGAGAGCAAAACGCGTCCAGAGCCCCGGTGCCCCCCGGTGAAGACAAAATCTGTACCCTACCCAACCCTGAGTCGTCCGCGGGGGGGGGCTTCTGCGGCGGGTTCGATGGTCCCACTCTGGGAGAGACGTGAGTCGGTTGGATCCTGGGGTGGTTGTGGCGGTAGGAACGGGGGGGGGCTCTCAGTGCTCTTATCGGCGCCCAGCCCTCTACGGCGCCGCCGCCCCCGACTACGCCGACGCTAACGCCCGCCGCCGTGGCTACGGCGCCGTGATCGCCGAAGTTTGTGAGGAAGGAGCTCCCGACCAGGCCGTCCGTGTCGCCGTCCTCGCTCCCCATGTGCCGGCCATCATCGCTAAGCGCGTCGTTGCCGTCTCCGGCTTTGTAGTCCCCGAGTCGCTCGCCATCGCCGCCCCCGTCGCCGATGGCCGCCGCCCCCTCCCCGCTGTGTACGCTGTTAACGTCGCCTCCCGCCCCGACTTCGCTGATCCCGCCGATGCTCCCGACCTCGCTGCTCATGTCGTTGCCTTCGCTGGTCCTCTCCGCCCTGCCGCTGCCGACGACGACACCCACGCGTCCGCTACCCCCTCGACTGATGCTGTCGCTGGTGCTGTTGCTCGAGGCGCGATGCCGTGTGAAACTCTTTGCCGAGCCGGCGGAAGCCGCGGAAGCGGCTTGCAGCTCTCGAGACCCGAGTCGAACTCGCTGCTGCCGCTGGGCTTCTTGGAGCTTGTCTCCCGCCGACGGGGACGGGGAGTACGCCAGCTCCGACCCGTACGGGGTGGTACCAGAAGATATCATCGAAAACATCCCTCTCTGGTGCGAGCTCGACGCTGAGGCGGGCGAGACTCCGGCCACGAATCGTACTGACGAGCTCGCGGACGCAGGGGATACCGGCGGCAGCGAAATTGGATACAAGGGTTGCTGCTGCTGCTGCTGCTGCTGCTGTTGTTGTTGCTGTTGCTGCTGCTGTTGGTGTTGGTGCTGCTGCGCGCTGCCGCTACCGCCTCCCCAACTCCCGTACCCTAGAGCGCCAAGGTACACCCCCGAAAGAGCCCCGCCGCCTGGTCCAGCGACGCCAGCCACGGCGCCCGATGGCACCACGGCGGGAACAAGCCCACTGTACGAAAGCCCCGCTCCGGGCCCGAACGAACCAGACAGCGGTCTGAGGGGGGGGCTGTTGGACGGCGACGATCGAATGGGGCCACTCGGGACGTCCGCTCGCGACCGTCGGGTCGGCTGCCCCGGCGCCGGTCCCTGTGCTTGACTGAGACCGGTTTTCGAGGGTGATGTCCCTCCTCCTCCTCCTCCTCCTCCTCCTCCTCCCGCTGTTACTGCTGCTGTTGTTGCCGCTCGTGCTGTTGCTGTTGCTGCTGCTGCTGTTGCTGCTGCTGTTGCTGCTGCTGCTTCTCCCGCTTGTGCTCCTGCTGCCACGACGCCTCCGTCCGAGGAAGCCGCGGGCGTCGGTGCCTGTGGCTTCTTCGGGGAGCCTTTGTCCGAGGAGGAGGGGAACCGGCCGCCACCGGGGCCAGGGCTGCGAGGCGGATGGGGCTGTGGTGCCGTGGCAGGGGCCGACGACGGCGCCTCCGGAGAAGGCGCCATATCTGCCGATAATGGTGGTTCCGGGGATGATGCAGGGGCAGCAGCCGGGGACGATGCAGACGCAACAGCCGCGGATGATGCAGGGACAGCAGCCGGGGATGATGAAGGGGCAGCAGCCGGGGATGATGAAGGGGCAACAGCCGAGGATGATGCAGGAGTAGCAGCTGGGGATGATACAGGAGCAGCAGTCACGGATGACGCGGGGGCAGCAGCCGGTGATGATACAGGGGGAGCAGTCGCGGATGACGCGGGGGCAGCAACCGAGGATGACGCGGGGGTAGCAACCGAGGATGGCGCGGGGGCAGCAGCTGGTGCCGAATCTTCGTCCAGCATAGTTAGCTCCGACCTTTTCCTTCGTGCTCGCTAAAACCTCCCACTCTTGAGAAGAAAATGGAACAGACAGTGAGTGTTCGTTTTCGGTGCTAAGTAAGGCGACGCAGGGCGGCAGGGCACAACAACGCGACGGGGGAAGCGCGTGCAAGTGGACGTCGATGTCGCAGGCGGCAAAGGAGGAGCTTTCCTGGGTAAAATGGTGACATTGATTCACGAGTTATCAGCGCTTCTTGTGGATGGTGTGCAGTTTTTTTCTTCTACGAGCATGTACGTGACAAATTCTCAGTTCGTCCCTGCCGTCGAGTATAGGTTGTACCACAGAGTTTGAAGCGTCCACCGCTGAGCAATGTCACAATACTTATCCCTAATTTCGTGATTTTTCGTGAGAAAGTTTGGGCTATTGTTTTTCTTACAATAGCGGGATAGTCTCCATATTTCTTGTTGGCGGGCCCGTACTGCTGTATGCACTTGAAGTATCGTACCCTATTGTCCTAGAACTTGTGCGAAAATCTGTCATCATCCTGCAAAAAAGCCCTGTCATCGCTGTACGTCGGTCTTGACCGTGCCTGCTGGATTTTGTGGTGAGTACCACAATTCGCCCAAATAAATCGCACGGTTTGTTCTGAAACGTCACGGAACGGTTTTACCCGAGGCCCAACATTCCCCTTCACGGAACGGACCGGATATTGACTAGTGTCGCGGAGCGGAGCAGTGATTCAAACCGCTCCGCTTCCCCTCACTCCCCGTCGAAATAAACCGCTCTGCTATCTAGATCCCACTCAATGTGTGTTCCATTCCTTTTTTTTATTTTTCTTAATATGACACAACGAATCCATCTCTATCATAGAAAATAGTCTGAGACAGATTAGCAATGAATTCAGAGCGTCAGAAAGTACCTGTATGTCTACGATTTCCCAGACAGCATATAGGGACATCTCCCCTGTGGGTAACAGGCTCAACAAGACAGTTTGGTAGCTGTCTTGTGTGTCTCATATATGTTATGTTGGGAAGGTGCAGAAGAAATGTGTTAGGTACTGTTGGGTATAGTCTGACGTTTTGTGTGTGGCACCCTTTTAGTCGTAGGGCATGCAAACTCCCTCAATTTTCAAACGTGTTTTCAGTGTGGTACGTGTTTCCATTCTTCTCTTTTCTCTTTGAATTGCTGCGTACGTATGAATACCTTTGCCTGATGTTGCTTGTCGTCGCCTCTGAAGAGGCAGGAAGTGCTGGATGCTGGATACTACAGCTGTAGCCCTCTGTTGGGTTCTGCAATCATTACTCCCGAGTACTTCGTACATACGAATGCATCCAACATCATCATCTTAAACAAGGATAAAAATAGTTGTGACGGAATCATCTGTGTCAGCTTGGACAGCTCGGACGGAAGCATCAACAGATGCACGCGTGAACAATCCAATACTCGCTGACGACACTGATTGCTATGTACACGTGTACACTGCTTTGTTTGGTATTACACTTTGTCTGTCGTTTGTGTACACCACAAGACTCCGGTCGGTGCTGTAGTCTACGGTCTGTATAAAGATAAAATAGCGGCAGCCAGGCGCACAGCAGTACGCGGGGTGGAACGAAGAGATCGGACCGCCCCTTTCCTTGGCACCACAACCATGCCGGCGGGGGGACAGAGGGCACAGGAGGGCCGGCTAATCATGCTGAACATTCCCATTTGTCGGACCGCCTCGCGGGGGATTTATCGGCTAGTCTACAGCAGTAATGTCCCATGACGGCACCTTGACCAGGCACTGATAGCGGTCGCAGAGATGAGCTTTTCATCCCCAAAACAACCACCGCTACTCTACAGAAGTATTAAAAATTTGTGTCTCTATGCGTATGCGTACGTCAACATGGACCTGGCACTTACACTTTGGTTATCACACACCTCCGTCCGTCCGTCCGGGGGCAGCCAGCTGCCCTCTCAGAAATATTGTGCTTGTAGCGGAAACGCTGTTGGTGCTGCCTGCTGTGCTACCGCCGTGTATTCATGCTCTGGGAAAGAGGCCTCCACATCGGCGGATAAAAAAAAGGCGGCTGAAGGTGTATGTAGTAGTCTCATCTTCCACGGACCCCACACACCCCCTGTCGCTCTTCCGGGGGGCAGAAGCCGGACAACAACAACCCGCGCACCGGCACAACTCTTCTCGGCAGTCACAGCAAAAACCAACAGCAGCACCAGCAGTGGCTGCGTGCCCTTGTAAAAAAAAAAACACCTAGAGAGCGCGGTATCTACATAATAGTATCGTGGTAGAGAAAAACCTCCGCCCCTTGTGAGCATTTAATTACCAACCAAGGTTTTTGAATAACACCGATTGAAGTGGACACAACAAACAACGGCTGGACCCACGTTTTGATAGGAGGCAACCAGAGAGCAACAAAGGCACACGCGGCTAAGCCGTGGTGTGAGACGAGGCCGTTTGAAGAGCTCCGAGAAAAAGAGATGCACACCACTTTTTTTTCCCGAGTGATGCCCTTGCCCTCTGGTGCGTCACACGAGAGGCTTCATGTCATTGCAGAGACACGCCAAGGGCGGCGCTTGTAGGCGCGCGTGGGGATTGAACAGCGACAGGCGCAAACGGCATCCTTGTATGCAGTGAGCGGTCACCAGAGAGTTTCAGCTGGTCCGCCAGGCACACCAGGCACCATCGATATATGGCCCGCACAACAATTAGCGGTCGACTACTACTGCTGTTGCAACAAATATGTATGCAGCACAGTGGTATTCGCTCTGTTTCTGTGTGGTGAAGACTGAAGAGATTTTTCATGCGGGTATCCAGCTCCTTTGGTGACCTCTCTCTCTTGATAAGGATACATTCCATACTACTCCACAGCTATGAGGAGAAAGGGACGCACGACCACCATTCCCTTGACCTGAATGACATTCCACCGCACTCACCCTTAGTGCAGGCTCCACAGCAGTACAACAGCTCGGCGAGGGAGGGTCAAGACGACCTTCTTTGTCTCTCTTACGACAAATTTCGGATCAGTACAAAAAGGAGAGTGCACATGCACGCACGCGTGTAAGTCCCTCGAAAACTTTTCAGCGGCCACGCTCCCCTCCCTGCTCGTGCTGCTGAACTCGTTCTATCTTCGTTTCGATAACTTCAGCTGCAACGGGGTGGAGCACGAGACGGGCGCAGACCAATGGACTGCTGTCAACGCCCGTGGTATTCTTGCAAGCTATATGCTAAATCGAAGTACAACTCAACCATTGCATGCCAAAATATTTTTTTTTGTTTTGAATCGGTCTACATACTCGTGCAGAGTAGATGACCCCCCCTTGTGGTTCCGCCGTCACTATGAACTCCTTGTACTACGCGCCAACTGCCAACATACAGCAGGGCCAGCAGCAGCAGTAGTAAACACAGCATAGCGCACATAAGTTGCGACTAGCGGAGCACGAAAGTGGCGTGCGTAGAGTCTGTGTGTGTGAGGCATGGCGTTCCCTTTTGGTAAGCCTGCGGCGGCTCCAGCCTCCTCACTGTTCGGAACAGCCCCCGCCGCCGGAACACAGGCAACAACAGCAGGATTTGGCGGATTTGGGTTGGGTGCAGCTTCTACACAACAACAGCAGCAACAGGTGGGAGATATCTACCGTTCAGTTCATATGCGAAATAACCGGGCAAGAGGTTGATGTGGCTATGAGGCACTCCGTAGCCGTAGTTTAAGAGTGGCAATGCATGCACATGCGAGCTATTGTTGGTAACTGCCCTAACGGAAACAGCAGTGATCAGGCAGCCCCCCAAACTCGGTTGAGTGTAGGTCTTGAGACCAAATTGCTTTTGCCAGCAGTGCTGTTGCGCTATGCCAGCTAGCTCCGTTTGTGTGGGAGTACATCAGCGTACTTGTAACGAGTGCACTCTGTAGGTTGTATCGGCAACTCAAAACTACTGCTTGTCCGTTGTTCCGCAAGGAAGGGTCATCATGCATCCACGGAGCCCCGCTATTTAGTAGCGGCAACCATCCAATGTTGTACAAGGTAAAGCGTGTGACACTCGTGCAGATGCTTTTCGGGAAGAAACACGCGGCCGTGGTACTCCTGTGCAGCAGACTGCTGTGGTACAGCAATATGTAGTTAGCAACACGAGCTTTGCCTTTTATACTGATTTGTGCCGCAATGATTTGCAGATAGCCCAGTGGTAGAATACGACAGACCCACACTGACTTCAAATTCCGTTTCTCGCTTGGCGTGCAATAGTTTCGGTGCTTCCCTACTAGATTTGTATACAAACGGTCTTTCCCAGAGCATGGTTTCAAACTCGACGTGTCGTGCTTTTGTTTTGCAAGACACAACCCTTTCGAGCATGATGGCAAACGTAGGCAAGAGCGACAACAGCAGTACTGTAGGCAGAATTCACAGAGGGCAAGAGCTTTGATCTCTGGTACGCCATGGGCCAGTGAAGACTTTGCCATTGAGACGGTCCTCGAACCGCTGTGGTACCAGAGACACCGTACATTGTCACAAGGCCTCCCTCTTGGATGCGTGCTCCATCAAGTTGAAAGTATTTAGGAAAACAAAGCACACTACCATGTGTACTATATTTACATGTAGGCAGCAGCAGACAGACCACGTGTACCAGCCAACAACGGCACGTGTCGTTCGCGTTAAGAGTGTTTATTGTCCTGCGAGTCCGCGGGCTGCTTCAGGCGCTATTTGGCCGATGCTGAGGGTGCCGATGGTGCTTTTGTTTTCGTCGCCGGTGATGACAGAGGCACGTGCCCTCAAGCAGCTCGTAATAAATCAGCGTTTCTTTCTTTGTGGAAGGAAGCCTTCAGGCAGGGCAAGCATCGGTGAAGGAAGGACGGTCATATGAAGTAATGCCGGTGATTAAAAACCCACGGCAGTCAAGTACAGCAGTAGTGTCCATCTGTGGTTTTGACCGCGGCTGAGCACTAATCCCTGCTGTTCTTCCGCATCTCCCTTAGGCGGTCGGCGCAGCACCGCCGGCGGCAAACGCGGGGTCAGCCTCCCAGAAGGAGTTCGAGAAGCTGTTCGAAGCTTATGCGGCCAAGAATCCCGCCAATGGCGAGCCCAATCCCAGCTGCAGGATGAAGGTATTAGTCAAGGAACGTTGCGTGATAGGGGTCTTGCGCTTTTGTGTTCGGGGTTGTGTTGCCTTCTTGTACTGCAGCGTTCAATTTGGGGTCTAAATATACGTGAGCGGATGCATGCGTGATGATTTTATTGTGTGAGCACCCCACAGTGGGATAAACAATGTTGTGTTCGTGTACAGCGGACGGTGCGTTTTCCATCTGTGTAACCGACTGCACCAGGTTATTTGTGGTGTAGCAGTAGTACACTTGTTCCTGTACCACGGTCAGATTGCGGCAGGCCGTATGACAGATGACGCAGCAGGCGCGGCCAACGCTGACGTACCGTGGTAGCATGTTCCATCATGCAGAGATTTGTAATGACCATGAATGGCTGCTATGAAGTGCGCGGTTTTGAAGGTGTGAATACGGCCTGGATTAGCGACCTCTTGATCGGCTGATTCCCTATGCGTGCGCTCCTTGCTGCGACGCTCACGCTCGTGCCGATCGACACCTCCTGTTTGTATTATGTGATGGACGATTTTCGGCCTCCTCGCAGCACGTGGTGTACAACCAAGTTGACCCAAGCTTGAGAAACTCGTACACCCGCCCCCCGCACATGGACGACAAGACGTGGCAGAAGGTGAGGCGCAGCAGAGACATAAGGTATATTATAGGCTATTGAAAAGGCGACTATCTGTGAGCAGGCAGCAACACTATTGTGTGTCTGCTTGTGAAATCGAATTTTTTAACGGCATAGCACGCGCCGTTGTGCAGCCCTTCTCGACGCGACCGTGGCAATGACATCAAACGACCATCCGCGTTTCTGTTCGCAACGTCCGAAGGTCGGCTTCGGTTCGGGAAGAGGACCAGGTTCTCTCGAGAGTGAAAAACAAACGCAGAAGAGAAACCGAGTGCGCCCAGGGAGACCAAAGTTGCCAGAGCACGTCCCATGATTCAAGCGTCTTTATTTTTCTGATTCAGCTTGGTTTTCCTGCGCCAACTGGTGCTTCGGTTGCTGTATTGCCTTTGTTGCTCCTCCGAAGGCGGAGGAAGACAACCCTGACCCAAGCAAGCTGGCGCCAGCGGCGGTGATCGGATGGGAGAGCCTCAAAGAACGGCTAGTGGGACAGCAGCAGGAAATGAAGAAGATGGCCGAGTTTGTTGCGGTGAGTGCTAGGAGGCGTGCCTCATGTCGAAGCGGCGCGTTTGCACGTTAGCGGTAACAACGGGACAAGCATGATCTTGCGCGAAAAGTTGACCATCAACAAGGGGAGTATCGCTTGTGCAGTGCCTCGAGAATCCGACTGTGTGTTGGGTTTTGTGTTTCGCACGTGTAGCCCAACGTCTCGTTGGAGCTGGATTAACTAGCTTGTCGAGGGTATTAGCCTTCACGTGAGTCTTGTCACAAGCTCGCCCGGCATGAGCTGTCTGCCTCTTCTACAGGCTACACGTGCTGCGACCAGATGATGGTTGTAAGATATGTGTATGTTTGACATGTTTGAGCTCCAGTATAGATACGCAAAGAGGGTGTTTCGCTGCAGCAAGCTAGTTTTCCCTTCATTTTGCGCATCTTGTCTTGAGGAAAGCTAGGGGAATATAGCTATACCTCATTGCTGTCTTACGGATTACTGCAGGACACGCACTGACACAAGCCTGAGAGCTCGAGCTCGTATCTTGAATTAGGTATAGCCCGGCCAATGTACTGTACTGGCCTCCTGTCGCTGAGCACACCTGAACTGTGCAGTGATGAATTGCTCCCTCCCGGCTGCTATTGTTGTTTGAGTTACTTCTGAGATATGTCTACTATGTACCCGCGCGAAAACGTGTCTGTTATGTACCCGTGTGTTCGTATACGGCAGCTGATGCAGAATACGACCAGGGGAGGACTTCGGTCGGTGGCTTTAGTGCGGACGCAGATGGAGGCTTCGCGACGCAGGCACCTGGCCCAAGCACATCGCTTCCTAAAGGTGATCCACTTGACGCAATACAGTCTTGATGGTTGATTTCTGGATGCGTTATTTTGTGTGTTACTGCTGTTTTTGTGAGTTTCTCCTGTACCCTCGGTGTGCATAGAACTTAGAAGATATCCACACCACGTACCACACACTTTACCCGGTATTCTTCCGCTCAATCACCTTCCATGGAACATACCGCACCACCTACTTGGCATTGCTACGAGTATACTAACTATCTTTGCCATACCTTTCACGTGAGCGACTCTCGATTGATTGGCTCATGGGGAGGCACCCTTTTGGTTTTGCTGCAGAATTTTTACTACCATTCCTCTTTAGCAAGTACGTGCAGGACTTGAAGTGTATCCCTTTTGCCAATAGTCTGAACACTCCGTCAGTTGTTGGATGTGCCGTACGTACCTGTTGTTGATGGTGCCTCACGCGAGCCCGGCGAGACACGATGCTCACATTCGAAGGAGCTTCTTTCTATTGGATGTTGCCTTCGGCACGGGAAGCCTGCGTCGCACCTGATGCCTAAGAAGCCGAACTCTACTTTGAGCAAGACTACTCAATCACGTGCCTCAAAACAACAGGTAATAAGGACGGTTAATCTCGTCTAGTTCTTTGCAGGTAGTCAAGCTTACAGCCCGGCCACCCCCTCTCGTGTTTACCGTGCAATTGCACCTTGCATTGCAAGCAGCTCCAGCGCAAGCTGGATGCGGTCCGATGCCTGAACAAACCCCTGAGTGACGACGAGCGGCAGCTAAGAACGAGGCTGGAGGGTGTCCACCGATCCCTGGGCCCCCCGCAGCAGACGCTCAAGGACCTCAACTCGGCCCTCCTTCAGGTGAGCTTCGACTCCCCAGTGATACCACCTCTTGTTGCTTGGCGTAAGGGAAGTCTCGTTTATATTTGAGGGTGATCCTCCCCACGTTGGCTTGTGCACGGCGGCGGTGCCTTTGCGCAGGCTGAAGCGGAACGCCTAACTTTGCCGCCGCCTCTTGTTTTGCGCTTGTGGCACCGTTGGATGGATTAACTGCCGCACGCGCTGGGCTCCCGTATGGCACACCAGTGACCAAAAAGGAATGTTTGCACATGTACTTGCTAGCGGTCCTGTACTCTGGTCTGTGTTGCACGTCGAGAACCACGCACTCGCTCTTGGCGGCCTGGCGTCGAAGTACGTTTTTGTCCCAACCAGTGTCCTCTTGTGGGTGTAAACGCGATTCTGATCAACAGGGAGAGAGACACATGGAGGAAGTGGAGGAGATCACGGATCCGGAAGAGTTGCGAAGAATTTTCCAGGTGAATTCCCGCGTCATTGCTGAAACAGCAGCAGTAGTTCTCCGAGTGCACTATAGGATGATGCCGTGCTTACATGGGGGGAACCACAGGGTGCCACAAGCTCACCCATTGCTTCAACCAGCTGTTGGACTCACGCACGGAGAGATAAAACTCCTTTGCCCCCCCTACCCGTTTCACACGATCATGGATGGCTCTCTTGTTGCAATTGGTAGCGTACGACCATGGATGGCTCTATTGTTGTAAATGGTAGCGTTTTTGCGCGTTGAACACCTCTTTCTTCTTTTTGGTTAGCGCGATCTTCGCACGTTCGACCGTCGGTTGACGCTGGTTGCACCCCCGTGTCTTTGACTGACGGCTTTCAGGCGCTGGAGGGGCAGCGCGAGGGGCTGACGCACTTGATGCGAATAGTCAAGAAAGACCGCCAAGACCTGGAGGTGCGCTCACAACTTTGTGTTTTCGAATTTTGCGTCATCACGGTCTCTTGTCAGTTTTACCTTGGCTTTTTCTTGGGGGGTAGAGGTGCCTTAAACCTGTTGAGTCAACGATCAATCTGAGAAACGGATTTCAAAATCATGCTCCAGGTTTTAGATTTTACCTTGTAATGTTTTGCTTGAGTTTGAGGTTCACCACATGCAGGTATCGTATGTCGGCAACAGTATCTTGGCGGATCGCGGTTGAAATCTATCGTCAAGCCGGCAGCACGCCTGTCGGAAAGAGCGTCTACTTCGAGTATTGGCTTCAGAAGAATCAGCATCAAGCAAGCAATTTATTTCGCAGCAGCGGCAAGAAACCATTCGCTCTACAGCACTTGGAAGTGCATCTCTGAACATCCCACCGAACCCGTCCGTTTGGCGTTGCAATGGTCGATGCTGTCTGCTGCTGCACGTGTGCGTCCAGATTATGAAGAAGTCGAGGGAGCTTCTCCTCACCCACTGATGAGGGAGGCCTTACGCCCCAAAATGTGTTTGACCGCCCAAGGACTAGGTGACGCCATGACTACCGCAGTGGATCAGCTCGGCTCTTCGGCTGGTGGTTTGTTTCAGCATAGTCGCGCACAAGTACTACACGCTGAAATGCAGATTGTGCTCGATGCAGTGCGCTTCGAAGCGTGCAGTTGTTGAGACCCCAGGTTGTTGATGGTTCGGTATAGCAAAGTGTAGTAGTTTTCGGAATTTGCGCGTTCACGACTTTGAGATGCTGCTGTGATGAGGTTGGTAATGACGAAAGTCGCGACCAGGGGTGAAAATCCCGCGTTTTCAGGTCGCAGGGCAAAATGAACCCTTGGGTTCTGCACCAAGTTATGTCGGGCGTTCAACGCATCAGTGACTCGGAATGTAGCGCAAGGAGCGTTTGTGACTACAGTACTACCCTAATGGGTAGCTCTAAATGGACACCCACAGCAGGACTCGTGTAGGTATTTCCCAAATGGTCACAAGGCACACCGACCACTTGTGTTGCAGCCGTGGCATCATTGCAATGAGCCAAGCGATTGTGGTAAGAAAGAGGTCGCTGCTGCCGTAGTTCAAACCGGCGACCGCGCGCCTGGTTGAATGACGCAATATGGGGGGCTGGTCAAGACCCATGTGGCCAGCAGTCATCGCTGCTTGGATTTGACCAAAATTATTTGAGGTTCCAGCACTGCTCGGCTGTTGTACTTGTTTCTCCGGATGCAATTCCCGCCCACCATTCACACTGATTGCCCTTCACCTACAACGGCAAGGAACACTGCTTCCAAAATACAAACAAGACGAGCCGTCGCCGTGACTTCCCCCTCCGTGTGTCGTGACGCGACAATAGGCAAAGCAAGCATCCAGTTCTACCAAACCCCAACCATGACCCCTTCGTTTCCAAGCCCTCCATTCCGTCGCCGGCTTCAAATGGAAGAAAAAATTCCAACGATGCGTTGCAGGCGGTTCGCCTCAATGCAATCGCAAGGGTTCTAGCGCTGAAGGTTGGAGCAGCGAGGTCCAGACCACGCTCCAGATATCGCTTAGGCCTGGGTGGAACGCAACGGTAAATGGCGAGAGAGCGACATTGAGCACGAGCTTCCCAAACGCAAACAAGAATGTCGAGGATACATTTAAGTGTGACGAGAACTTCATCAGAGAAGCTTTAGCTTTCACAACGATGAGATATCTCGATGTGCAGCCATGGAAAAATGCTCACAAATGTACAGCACGGTGCTCTTCGCTGACCACCCGAGTCGAAAAAAATCGCGCTACAGGCTGGGTACCTGGTGACACGCGACACGCCTAGAGCAGCTGCCAAAACATCAAATCGGTGCCCCCACTATCCTCAGGCTCGTACGCTCAGACACGGTTACAGCGAAATTTCGACAGAACCGCCTTTGTTCGTCCCTGCCTGTGCGGTCATTTCACCAAACCACAAAAAAATACCGTAAAATAAACAACCGCGCCAGGTACCGCACTGCGGAGTAATCGGGATTGGCCGTAAGGGTGTCTCCAAAGACCCACCTGGGACGGGCCGTTCTTGGGGGCGGAGCCTCCCTCGTGGAAGCCGTTCTTGAAGCGGCGGGGGAGGGTCTTCATGCTCCTGGTTTGTTCATTACACGGAATTGTTGCCGTCGCAAACGACGAAACGGAGCGGTAAGTGTCATCCCGAAATTATAGCGTAGATTGAAGCAATACAAAGTGAGCACTCCTGTGGGCAAAATACCCACTGCTTAACCGCAAGCAAGAGAGCGTGTCTCATCAACAAAACGTGAGGTGATGCTCGCATCAACGGCTCAAGGTTTGCCATGCACCCTGCAGCGGAGAAACACAGGCCGCTCACGTTTTCTCCTGCGTGGTACGGAGGCTGTGCTACAAAACATCAACATCGACCCAAAATTCACAAAAATTGGCACCCACAAGCGGCTACATCTGTCGAGCTTAACCACGAGCGCGCGTACCTCATGCGACCGGTGCCCTGAGTGCGGCGGCGCTTCGCCTTCTCGGACCAGTTGACTGCAACACACGAATTGGTTCCGCACAAACGAAGGAGCAGCAGCGCGGTTTCGAAACGAATAGGCAACACGTGAGGGAAGGAACAGCATGCCAGTAACGCGAAGCCGCGCGCAAGATGCATGAGTTGCTTGAAGTCGAGACGACGGCACCTGCAAGACGACTCAACAGGTTTAAAAACGCACTGCCATGGAGCATTAGAACAAACGACCACGAACCGGGAAAGAAGCGAGACACAGGAACAAGAACGTCCAGTATTGCGGAACACACAGCTGCAGCCTGCACGGGGGTAAACTCTGGTTCTCGGGCGCTGTTTCCATGCAGACATCAACCGTATCGCTGAACCAAAAATGAAATCGTTGTTCGGGATAACGATGAAACCGCGAGTGCACGGCGTGCTTACGGGGCGTCCGGGGATCGGGGCCCCAACACGGATGATAAAACGCAACAACATACTTGACACAAAAAGTTCTTGGGCGCGATAAAAGCGTTGTAGTAGGTCCGTCATCAAGAAACGCTTGGCACCTTGAGATAATTACTCCTTGAGTGCATGTGTTGTATCTACGAGAGTATGATTCGAGAGCAACAAACATTCGATCCAGGCGTATCCTCCATCACTACCAAGTCCCCCGCCCACAGCAGCAACGCTGTGAATCATAGGCCACCTGTACGCCATGGGCCAAAGATGGCCGAAGCCAACACGATACCGCAAACGAAAACGTATCCGACACATGCTACGGGGGCAGCAGAAATCAGGCACTCACAGCGGCGCATCTTGGTACCGGGATAGCCGCACGAAGAGCAGACCTTCTTCTGCTTGTGGAAGGAGGTGCGACCGCACCGCCGGCAGGCCGTGTGGGTCTTGTTATGCCTCTTACCAAACGAGGCCGTTCCCTTCGTCTGTTGGCAGGACGTACGGCAATGACACGGACAAGAATATTAGTTTGGTGGGTTTGGTTGGGGGTATTGACATATGTGCCAGGACACTTGAGCGAGGGAACACGGTCATGACACGGAGCAAAAATTGCTGGGTTGTTTGGGTATTGACATGTGCGCCAGGATACTTTGAGAATTTCGGCGAGGCAAACACAGCCGCAGCTCCGACTGCCAAGTTAACCGTGACAGAGCATTCATGTGCATTTCTAAGAAGAACGGGAACACAAACACTCCTAACCAAACGCACAGGTCTTAGCATGCAAAAGAAATGTCCCTTGTCGTGTGCGCCTTGCTGCAGTACAGGTTCTATAAACGATCGGAAGCGGCAAGACTAATGTGGAGCGTGCCCTCGATTAAATAGTCGCCGTGGGGTACTTTGCTGGTCCGAGCTTTTCGACTGCAACAGCAGTTACAGTAGAGGGCGTATGCGTTCGACTAGAATTATGCAAAGCACTTTGAGATGGGTATGCAACAACTGAGGTATCGTGATACACAGGAAACACGGTACGAGCGACAAGCTTGCTGCTCCTTCATCGGATATGACAGCAGTGTGGGCTCACCATTAGACTTTTGTTCATTTTGCACAGCAGTAAACGCAAGAGGATGGCACACATGCCTAACTTAGACGTCGGAGTCCGATCCGTACTTCTATGTAAACGTTGGACCACACTCATTCAAGACATGCACGTGGCAACGCATCATAGACACCCGTGTTCCCTTGCAATGTGAATGTTTTGCAGGAGAGCGCCAACGGTTGCTGCGCACGCCGTGCGTGTGGTATGGCATAGTCTTTGCTTGAGCCCCGGGCAGGGAGGGGAGGCAACAACGATTGAACAGCCCGCTGCGTTTCGCTTGCAAGCTCAAGCATACCTTGCTTTGCCAATCTAATCCTAGCTACTCTGGTTTGGAAGGCACACCAGGCGGTTCCAGCGCCACCAGCACCTCGTAGCTGGCTCTGTCCAAGCCACTCCTTCCCGTCAGCAGCCAAGCGCCCGGTGGCAAGCATCCTCACTTGAGGGAGGAGCGTAACCGAGATGAAATCTCACGCAACGAACGCACAACTCTACCTAACAGAACACGACACATGAAAGTAATGAGGACAACCGATAGACTTGTCCCACTAGCGATCGCGCCTCTTACTGCGTACTCTCCTCTCTTCGGCGTCGTCTCCTTCCTTGTGGTGCCAAGACGGTGACACAGGAGAGCAACGTATCCTCTTTGTCAATCCAGAGGAACGCCCAAACTTAGAGCCCTGAGCACGGGCAATCCCGGAGTCACCCACACATCAAGAGTCGAATTGGAACTCACCATGGTGCTGGAGAGTTGAAGGCACGAAGACTGCTCCCTCCTATGCCCTTGCCGTCACGACTGTTCACCTCCATCCACGCCCTCCATCCTTCGTCGCATCATCCACGGCGCCCCTTCAACCCCCCCCCCCTCAAAAAGCGCCCCAGAAGCCCCCTGGAAATTGCGCCGCCACCCGCTTCCCTGGCTTGGCCTCCACACAAAACCGACAGAGGACTTTCCAAGGTGTGTGTGCCTCTCTGCTTGCTCTCGCGCCCTTGGCTTGAGTGTATTGGCCATTAGGGCAGATTTTATCGGCATTTTGCGGTGTTGGTTAGGGAATGCGGGACAAGGGGAGAAAAATCGTTATTTTGGACCAGTTCGTGAAGGCACCGCGCCCGTGCGCACCCAACCACTGCCTGTTGGGTGCGGTAGGCTAGCTGCAGCAGGGTTTCGAGGGGTAACTACAGCCGTCATGCTGGAGATATACGTACGTGTGCAGGAGGCTCGTGCATCTAGCTCCCATTGAGTTTGTCTCGGGATTCACCTTCCCTCGGTCTGTCGAGAGCACACATCCTCAGACCTGCGCGTTTCGTCACCACCAATGCTGTGGAGGAGACCGTGCTTGCTGCAGCCCTCTAACTATGTAGACTAGCCAATGTAGACGACGCCGTGGCCTCGGTCTTTCTAATGTAGGAGTTGATTGGCCCTGTTTGGAGAACCGGGGACAAAAATTCCTCTGGGGCTCATTCAGAGAACACACGGATTGCCCAATTTCCGCATGGCCGTCGATATGTAAGCTATTTGTGCAGCACGTGTTCGAGCACGAGGGCGTTGGTGACCCGCGTACACATGCGCCTTTTCACCCCAGTACTCAGATTTCTCGGACCCAGCGCTTTGCAACGTTCCTACTTTTGCTTGCGAGCTCTTTGAATCTTCCTCGGTGCGGCAATAGTGAAGCATATGCTGACTCGCGGGGTTGCATTTTTTGGAACCCGGGCATCGAACGACACTCGTTTTCGCGTATGCATTGTAGCCCATCCAAGACTGACGAAAAGCCGACATGCCGGCCAACATATCCGAGCAGGTTCATACACAACCATGGTTGCCGAGGACGTCGAGATGAAGGAGGAGGTGGCAGTGGAGGAGACTGGATCTCCCGAGGTGGAGGTGAAGGAGATCTCCGTGCTGGACGCCCTGAAGGAGGTTCTCAAGAAGGCCCTTATCTTCGACGGCCTCCGCCGCGGACTCCACGAGTGAGAGTTAGGCCGTCGCTCGCGATACAGCACTGCGTGTTTACCGCAGCCGTCGTTTCATGTACACGTGCTATTGACTCTGGTTGACCAACGACTGATGCGCACAACGCAATAGTAGCCAGTGTTGTCTGGCTATGATGCATTGCAGGACCAGCAACAGGAAACGGCATCACACACCAGGAACAGGATGCGTGTTTTTGCGCAGCTAATGTTGCTGATCCAAACAGCTTGTGCCTCCGACACCAGCATTTCTTTATCCGAGCATGTTTCCGTTCATCACGAGCAGAGGCCTTGCCTGGGTTGTTCTAGGCCGCCCAAACGTTGCATCCCCGAAGCTGAGTGCCGATGTTCCGCTGTTGCGAATCGCGGCCGCTCGCGACTGCTATAGGGAGATCGAAACGCCTGACCCCATTCCTACGCCCATCAACGACGATGCAGGTGCGCCAAGGCGCTTGACCGTGGCTCTGCCCGTTTGTGCTGCCTGGCCAAGGACTGCGACAACCCCGAGTACACGCAGCTTGTTCGCGCGCTCTGCGACGAGGGCAATGTGCACCTCATCATGGTGAGAGAGCGGGCTGGGGCGTCGACTTGCACACGTTTGCAGCTTTTGGTTTTGGTTTTGGTTTTCTTGATTTAGGCCAGAACCGCCTTGTAAGGGTGTCCTCGTTGCAAGCGCGACCTACGCGCGGCCCTCGCCCAGGCAGTTCGTTCGTTAACGGTCACGTTTGCTTGCAAATGATGTCCAATATTTCCACTGTCGTCTGCGTTGTATTCCTGTCTCTTTTCTTGGTGTACTGTAGGTGGACACCCGCCAGGAGCTCGGACAGTGGGCCGGCCTATGCAAGATCGGCGCCGAGGGGGAGGCCACCAAGATCGTGCCTTGCTCTTGCGCCGTGGTAAGTGACTTGAAGAACACGGTGCTCGCCATGCCACGAACAGAATGAAGCTGGGTCGGGCTTGCATGAAACGCTGGCCATGGCGGTCGATGCGATGGGCGTGGTGTCTCACGTAGATCGGGTAGGGTGATTTCCTTTCTCAATGCGCGGGGTGCGTGAACTGGAGACTGGTCTTGAATGCGTCACGGCCAGCTTTTGTTTGCTCGCCTGCACTCGTTGAGGCAACCTGTAGGATGAAGGCCCCACGAGTCTACGGCCGATGGAAGACCTGCCATTGCTCGTGTCGATGAAAGTGTACGTACAGTCATACCTCGAAGTATTAGAGTACTGCCGGCCGAGCGAGGTTGGCCGTAACGGAAACAGGGGTTCTTAGTTCTGATTGAAGGGGCAAGGGCAAGCATATCCGTTTGCCCTGGCTGTGTTTCGTCCGCCAAGCGTTCTTTCGCGCGCAACGGAGAAGCATGGTCTCCCTTCTGCTGTCTAGAGTCTTTCTTGTTGGGGAAAAGTGGTCGAGGAGGACACGTTTCGGCCACACACCCGCCGCCTCTGTGATGCATCTTCCATTCTTACCTTTCCCCCTCACGCCTGTCGCTTGGCCGTGCCTTGATCGTCTGCAGGTGACCGACTACGGAGAGCAGACCCAGGCTCTTGGCGTGCTCCTTGAGCACCTCAAGAAGGGCGGAGACTAAATGCAGCGATTGCCTTTGAAAGAGTTATAGTGGTCGTGAGATCCTGCGCCGGAAAGAATACGGGGATAGGGACGAGGGGAAGTGGCTGTTGATAGTATTTCCTCGTTTCGTGGTTCTCTGACTCTCCTGCCTTCCGTGAATAGGTGGTATCTCCTTCGCTAAGCTTGGCATCCTGCCATCCAAAGTTCTTTCGGCGAGAAAGCAAACGGCCATATATACGACGGCGAGCGTTTTTCTTTACTACGTTTGCTTCTGTGGGAGAGATGGCATTTCTCGTACCCGGCACACTTATTGCTCACCCGGAGTTGCCAACGCTCGACTGTGGCGACAAGCAGAAACCAACTCTTGGCCCAACATGGTGACGTCTTCAATGCGGGCCTTGATCAAGTGGGCACACGGTGCCATCATCTCGCAACACCTCATGGTGACCATTGCATTTGCGGATGCCACACGGACACCGGTACACCGCTCTGACATTCTTGTGTCCAACCATGACAAATGGTGCAGGTCGAACTCTCTTGTCCATCCTCTCCACATGCCGAACTCAGAAGGCGTGAGATTATTGTCGATTGCACTAAGATCACCGCGTATCAGCGTACAACGAAAAACACAGGATTTTTGCTACCTTTTTTGCGAGTTCTGCAAGCATCACATAGATTATATGGATGCTCGCATTCATGAAATCGATCGACGAAGAGTTGTAGGCAAAAGCGCCGTCCTCGATGACAGTGCAATCCACTAAACAACTCGTGCCTTGAAAAAAATCGTCCAGGCGATGATGCCCATAGAAAATGCACGTGGCACGGGAGGCTTCGGAATCCCATTGCATCGTCATGTGTACCCTTCGCCGATCGGCAATGAATTCAAAGCATCCGTCAGCGCCGTCCATGGCCCATTCGCTATCGTTGCCGACACGGCCCACACCCAAAGGTGCTTTCGCATGATGTGGCGAGGCCATGAGTCGCACCTTGATTGGAACAAACGACACACCAGCGATATGTAGGGCACAGCCCATGTAGTCTGGTCAAAGCGATGTGAAAAACAAATAAGGCACTCGGCGATTGGGATCATGATTGTAGCACAATACTGCCTACCCTACGCCACCGGTAGGTAACCGTCAGGAGGATAAAATATCTTATTCTCTGCGTTTGGCGATGTGATGTGTCGAAAGTGGGCATTGGTAACCAGCTGAGCTTGATTTTTCTTCATGCTTCGTTGTACCGGACACACGTACTGTAGGTCCTTCGTGTCACTACAACAGAGCAACACACCAAAAAAACTGCTGATTGAAACGGCACGGTCGATTTGGCGTGGCAGGATTTCTTGGCATAAATAAGGCGTTTTCGTACAGCGGAGGAGACAGTTTCGTCCCAGTCTACAGAAGAAATCGTTACAAGCAGTGCGGCGTGATGATACCATTGATAGACCACACGTATGATCACCTCTCGTCATGCGCCATGAGAGGTACCATGCCTGATGAATGGGCCACGTGTCTTCCCACTGCAGTGGGCCTTGCGTGCGTGGCAGCTCCCCTACTGGTAGGAGGGGGGGGCAGCCTGCACGGGAAGGATGAAGGTCGCGATCATTACCGTATTGGGGACCTTGTGAAGGATCTTCGCCTTCATGGAATATGCCTATGCATAGCAATGGGCAAGATCATCTTTCGTGTTGCTGACGACAGGTCCTCATGCACGGGCAGGGATCATGGCACCCGCCGCCTAATCGCCCACCTGCAGGAAAAGGTCAACCCCCTACCCCAACAACTTCTGAATTGCTTGGTCTCGGCGGGTAAGGAGAGTGACCTGGTGGAACACCAGTTGTCCGCCCGCAATATTGCTCGCCGGAAAGCGGCAGCAGCAAAGCGGATGAGAAGGTCTGCTCTAGCGCAAATGAGAGCGAGCAATATCGCGGAGAACCTGGGGTTGTTGGTTGCGAGCAAGCGATGGGGCGATGTGTTCGCGGTGGGCGGCAGGGAGGAGCGAGCCAAACTCCATGACAGAGAGGAAAAAAAATCAAACAGGCTGCTCAACACATGTCTCCCGAAACGAGTGGAGAAGGTTGGCAGGCAACGGCAGCGGGTGCTGGGATTGACGCTCAAGTTGGTGGGACTCTCCTCTGGAAGCTTAGCGAAGCAAATCGCAGGAAACGAGACAAGAATCGATGAGGTCAAGCTCGAACTCGTACGACTTCGTGCTGAGCGCGCCGAACGGGTTCGCCGAGCAGATGAAGTGCGCTTAGCGCTTGTTCGCTTTTGGTGTCCGGCGGCCCTTCAGCTTCTGGGGAACAACGAATTTGCGACGAGAGAACTGTTGTCTGGCAATGAGGTCTCTACAGCTCGACTGAACGGACTTGGTATTACTGACGAGGTGTGTATATGCTGCTACGCTGGATCAGGACTGTTTGTTCCTGCCTACACATGTCGATTCTTCCTCAGTTACCTACGGTAGTTTCGTGCCACGACACCCACCTGTTTAGACAATCTGCGCAGCATCTATTCATCTGCAACATATATATGTACTACTGTCTACCGTAGCAGTTGCTATTATAGCTGACGTATAATTTTCCGCGAATTTAATCATTGCGCAGCATACATACACATGCAAAGTACATGCGGGTCCCCTTTTGGACCTAAAATCGAAGATTTGTGAAAGTATAGTGCACCTTCAATAAGTTGTTCGGAGTGGGGTGAGGCAACATTATTTGCACGAACATCCCGCTGCTTCACCTGGGCTCCGAAGGTTGTCCACATCTGTCTTGCTGGTTGCAACTCACAAAGAAGATCTCTGCGTGGAATCATGCCCCCCCCTCCCAGGATTGGTACATCTGTACGACGTACCTATGTATGGACGTACTTCGCATAACGCATCGATCGTTGCTTTGTGCCTGGGATGCCGAGTGACTGCTTGGGTTGCCACTTGTGCATTCGTTCCGAAATAAACCTTTTTCTTCTTGTCATTTTGGCGCACTCCGTACCAACTCAAGGCGATGTGCCACCTCCATGACTCCCGGACAAAACTGACTTGAGTCGATAATTGTTTTCAAGCACAACTCCGGTGCGTCACCACTTACCCGCGCGATAGGAAAAGGATCCAAGCCGGTTTCTGCCGCTGTAGACTATATTTCGAAGTACGAGCGTGCCTGCGCCCTCGGTTACCACACATGTTGAATCGTCAGTGGATTATCGATAGTACATGATGTCGCGTTATACAACACGCAGAATTGCAGCTTCACGAGTCTCACAGTACCACTCGCTCTGGCAATCACCCTCTGCGCCAGAAGTGGGAGTTTCCCGGAATCAGCACTTCCCTTGTGGTCCCGGCGATCACCGTGCAGATTTCAACTGATGAATTTGTGCTTGTTCGATGTACTCACCCCTTGAAACAGTTCCGTGCATCGGCGTGCCAACCCTAGCACTGCTACGGTAGCACGGGCGTGAAAGTACGGGATAGAGTTGAGAACATCTAGACTATATCATAACAACAACAACAACAACAGAGAATAGCTGGCTCTCGCCCTGCGTTCTGCAGCATGAATATATGTTAATTCAGTTTGACAACGACAGGTCTGAGGATCTGATGCCCCCTACGGAGTTCCGGGGGCATGTAATCCTCTTCCCTGAAGTTTCTAGAGTGTGGAGAAACCCCGAGGATTGGGGCTCATTCCTTCCCCTCCGGAACGTAAGTCGGTCATCCCGCCCACCCTCGCCAGATAGAAAGGGGCATCCCGTATGAGGATGCTGGTAGGTTTTCAAGATGAGGAAGGCCTCTTTGTGACACACGGGTCTAATTAATCCAATAACTCTGGAACTGGGTTAGGTCCACCATCCTCCGCGAGTCTCAACAGGAAAACTGGTGGGGGTGGACTGTGCGAGGATACGAGATAGCTCCCGTAAAGCGCGCGGGACGGACGTTTGTGTGTGGGAAACTGATGTCCACTTTTGTTGTTACGAGCTGATCTGTGATGCGATGCCATGAAATACGGTAGCCCAACACAGGGCCAAACGAAACGCGTCTTACACCATTCGAGCTCGTGTTACAGGTAGCAGGTGTTACAAGATGTAGCTTGTGCCGTAAATAGGTGGTATTGTGGGTCGCCCTAAACTGGACCAGGTCACACCCAGCTAGAGCTGAGGGTATATATGTACTTTGTGGACACACACACCAGGTACAGGTGCCACACGAGACTTTCGTGCAGTCGGACCATCGGCTCTAGCTGCATTTGGCTCTTGTGTCTTTCGCAAGAGATCCGTCACGAACGACAACAAAAGAGATAGGCTGCACTGTATGCTCCAGTCACCGCAGGAAATCGTGTACTATCCTCAACTCAAGGGTGTTTTTTTCACAATACGCTGTCACTATCTGGCCACCTCTTCACGTTTCAGGTCGAGAGGTTCAGGTGCCAGCAGGCTATAAGGAATACCGTGAGGGCAGAGGCGGAAGAGTGCCAGATTTGCTTCGATGGGGAGCCAAACGTGAGTGTTTACGCGAACATGACCACCGTTGCGAAGAGGTTATGGCTCGGCGATCAGGAAAGAGGGCCACGAGATTCTCTACATACTTCTATCATGGCTGTTGGCGTTGGTTGTAACGACCCCGGTGTCGTGATAGTCTTGTCTCAATAGAGACGTGGTTGCCTAGGGTTGACCGAGGGTTGTGTACGGACATCGAAGAAGCTCTTGGGAAGTACGCCGATTGAACCCACTATCAATGTCAAAGTAGGTGCATCTTGCATCCCGTGCATGTGTTGTTGTGGCATGCGCGTGTTTGTCATGAGAGAAATGGCTCATGGCACGTAACCTTGTTTCGCTCCGTTCTGCCCCTATCTCCTCGGTGAAGCACTCAATCAAGAGACGTGCTCACTTACTCCACTCTTTCCCGTTTCCCGTCTGCTTCCCCCGCACGGGACGCTTGCTCCCTTGCCAGACGATGCTCTTCCCGTGTGGCCACATGTTCTGTTCTGCATGTGCCGTGCGCATGGTCCAAGCCAGCCGGGCCGAGTGCCCCTCCTGCAGAACGCGCATCGATAACTTGCGCGGGTGAACCCAACGAGGCTACACGCGTACCTGCGTCGAGCCCTGCATCACTGCTACTATTGTAGCTGGATCGCCATTGTCATGTATGAATCAAGGATGTACGAAAAAGAATTCATCGATACCGAGGTACCCAATTTCAATATTTTAGAGAATTTGGGGGGGAGAGGGAACAAAGCGAACACCACCCCCGCCCCCAAACGCCATGCAACAAGAACATATTTATTCTGTATTTTAAAGGGGTACGGTGTACTCTTGGGGGTCATTGTGCATCTGCTTGCGCCCTAACCGTGTGCGCTCGCTCGTACGCGCGCGCCAGGCCT